AAACTATAAAAAAAAAAAAAAAAAAAAAAAAAAAAAAAAAAAAAAATAAAATTTATATAAAAAAAAAAAAAAAATTAAAAAAAAAAAAAAAAAAAAAAAAAAAAAAAAAAAAAAAAAAAAAAGAGGGAATTACAATATAATTATAAACATGTTAATAAAATATAATTTATAAACATGTTAATAAAATATAATTTATATGAGTTAATAAAATATAATTTTAGCAAAATGCTACTTTATATTGATAAAATAACTATAATTATAAATATAACAAAATTTAATTATTGAATAGCAATTTTTCTTCCAGATGGTTTTTCTTCATCCTTTGGAAGTTTTACTTCAAGAACACCATTTTCAAATTTAGCAGTGATATCATTGGGTTTAACATTTCGAGGAAGGGAGATAGAACGAGTGAAACTTCCATAACGACGTTCTTGGATGTGAGTATTTCCTTCATCATATTTTTCATCTTTTTTGTTTTCACCAGAAATAACAAGCGTGTCATCATGAATGTTTACATTGACTTGTTCTTTGGTGACGCCCTGTTTAGATAAATTAATTAATATATAATTATATAATTATAAAATTATAAAATTATAAGAAACGCGAACTAAGGAAACATACCGGTAGTTCTGCATTCACAACAAAATATTTATCGGTTTCATGAACATCAAGAGGCGGAATTCGATTGAAATTATTGCGAAATAATGAAGTGTCAAATTTATAATCAGGCATGTATAACGACATTTTTAATAACGATAATTGTTTTTGTTAAAGTTATGAAATTGGTTTTGAATGATTTTTAGTGATTTTGATATTTTAGTTTTTTGTAATTTTATTGTTCGATTTGAATTTGATTTTTGAAAAGTGGGTTCAGTAAGCGATATTTATATAAAATTTCGCAGACACTATTTCTATAGGTCTCGTGCGTATTTACATCCTTACGTACATACGTGCTAAGAATTGATAAATTCTTGCCAATTCGGGATTAATCTGGATCATACGTATATTTTTCTTAATTATATTAGGAATTACAATTCCAGATCGTTCTACGAAAATCTTTAACATAGTGGAATACTCTGCCTAAAACGGTAACATTTGTCACATGAATTTAGCCTTATTCCCATTAAGTCATCGAAATTAAAGCTTTTGTACACAGTTTTTCTCATATTAGTCACCCGAGTTTATTTAATTTGTATCTTTCGATTAATAATCCGTTCATAAAGACTAATTAGTTCATAACGATTAAAACAATGTTTTAGAGTACTCCAAAAAAAGAGAATTTTAACCATGAAATGATTATTCTTAAATTGTAACACATCTATCGATCCAAATCTGGACAATCATATACATTGTATCATTTGCTTTCAACATTAACAAAAAATTGCATCATAGCTTTATCTTAAAAAATTACTAATACCTTAGTGCACTAGCTAAAATACTGATCAATGTTCTAAATATTATTTATATTATTCATGTGTGTATGTGACGAAAAAAGTTGAATAATACACCGATTTTTATTCTTTACTATCACCGTTATAAGATAATGCGCTGACCAAAGTACCCGATTTTTACATAGGCAAGATTATCCAGGACACATATAACTCGAAAGAATTCATTAAGTGCTTTAGTCAGAATTTAAATTTAGCAGCTATATAGTAAAATTTTCTAAGAAAATTTTCTGTTAGGCAATTTTTCAAGTGTATGTCCAATGTCAAACTGTGATCATCTATTGGCAAGGGAAATCTCGAGTTAGGAATCGGTTTGAAAATTTAAAACCGGTTACCCGAAATTAAAGCCGGTTACTAAATTAATCCGGGTAACGTACGTACGTACGTCCGTTTTGCTACTTGAGAACATAACGATA